CAATGAATGAAAGGTATTTTATTTAATATGTAAGATACCCGGCCAACTACACTTTATGAAGTAAAAAACGCCTGAAAAGCCATTGAAACTTTAACACTGTTGGATATTGTACAAAATGTAAACATGAACATGTGCTATTCCAAAAACTGCCCGGCCTGGTATCCTAAATATTGGATAAAATGTCTGTCGTTCATTCCTTGAGTGCATGGAGGTATCACTAAAAGTAGGTATACTTAATTCCTTCAAGCTGAGTAAAGAATACGTCTTTAAATCGCCCATTCTCATCCACGGGGCTATTTTGATGATTGTTCAATGAAAATATAACCATTAAAATAATTATTTTCCATCCTTTTTGAAAAGTGAAAAGACCAAAATGCTCGACCATATTCACAAAACATTCGTAACTTTTGTGACGTCATCAAAATAAAGACGCCATGACACCTCGAGTTGCTACTGATCTAGCCTTTCCCTTTACAAGCTGCCGGCCAAAAGAGCGCACAGATGCCAGATATCACAAGCCTATTTTTTTTCCAAATCTATACATAAATATGCCGTGATCAAATATATTCATCTTGAAATGTAATTGCAATATATGGCCATATAGCAAGGCAGGCAAAATGATGATAACAAAGAAACGATAAAATTATAGTCATGATCACTATTGTTTACATTTTGTGATCAGACATCGGACTTCCTTCGTAGTTATTGAGTCAAGAATAGTTAAATAGCAACTTTTTTTAGGTATTTATTCCCATGCTAAAGTGATTAGATTAAAGCTCTTTGTGATGTTAAGTTGGCAGCCCCAAAGATCCTTCATCTAAATTAATTTTAATAAAGCTTTGCATTTTCTATCAATCAGTTAATTATCTTTTAAATTCCCAATTTCAGACAGCCATGAATTAGTTGGTATGCCAGTGCAAGGTTAATATACGCTTTTAATTCCAATTCAAAACAGCTCACAAAAAATAACTCCTTGTCCATACCATTAATTTACATTCACCTGCGCTTGGAATCACTTCTGAACTCAAAGGATGAGGACAGCGATCTAAAAAACATAATTTTTCTTCTTTTTTTCTTACCGCATTTGCATATTCTATTAACATGCATGCCGAAAATGTCCATGCGGTAACTTTGGTGATCTATGTAAAAAAAAAATAAAGTGTAATCTGCGTCTATCTGATACAATACTTGCCTTTTCTAGAGGTGTACGATTACTTTCGTTGAGCAAAGAACTTAAAATCTGACGGTCAAAGTATCTCGGATATCTTTTTGGCTTACATCCCTATAACTATATTCAGCTTTGAAGTAATCTTATGGGGAAAAATCCAGTGAGTATATCCAATAAGTTATAAGGTTTGGATATAATGGGGCGAACCAGTTTATGTAAATATAATTTCTTAATCAACATATCCTAAAGTTTGGGATACGTAGCCATAGCCTGTATAGTGGTTGTGACTCTAATTGTATTGTTTCCCCGGAATAGCATTTATTTCTTTGTATGTGTTTCATGCATTAAAAAGAAATTACATATTTTTTAAAAATTGATCTTATGACGTATATGTGCAAAAGGAAAAAAAATGTCTAGCGACACCTGGCATCTCTGCTCTTATTAGATATGCAAATTGTAAAATCGTTTCCTGGACCCCCCCCCCTCTTCCCAAGAGGTTTCCAAGGAAAGAATATGAAACATAATTAAAAGGAATAATAACAGATAAATAAACGGTGAAACAACGATCTAGGAATATTATTACATACGCCATGACCCTACGAATTACGATCTAGAAATAACAAGTGAGCCTCCTATTTACACTGCTCATTTATTTTTAGATATTTGCTCGCGTAGTGTACTATTGCCCTTGCGATAATGCGTAAATAACCACCGCCAGGCAGGTGTTCCTTAATTAAAGAATTATACAAATTGCTGTCAAGCTCGTTATTTGTTTGCTTGCTTGTTTGCTAGGTGTCGCTCCACGGTTGCCGACTCGAGCTGGAAGGGGACTGGCGATATAGATATGAATATGTGTGTGTGTGTGTGTGTGTGTGTGTGTGTGTGTGTGTGTGTGTGTGTGTGTGTGTGTGTGTGTGTGTGTGTGAAATATGTCTATATTCCTCTCTATCTGTCTGTCTATCTGAAATATGGTCGTTTTATTAAGGAAAATCGTTTTTGCGTTTCATTTCGCGCACGTTATGTCCGAGTGTGCGCAGTTCATCTACCACTGACATAGTACCATGGATGTATACGATTTTCATGTGATGTACTTGTCTTAACTTTTCCTACCATCAGTCAGTGCAATTTGGATATATGACATTTCTCTAACTTATCATGTTTACTTATGATTACTTAATATTTGATAATAATGATATCTAATAATAATCAAAATTTGTAATTCTCACCGTAAAGACTGATGATGCAGATGGCAGCGAGCGGAAACGTCACAGTTTTGTGGCTCGTCTTCTGGGCGTGACGAAACCAGCGGGAGATTTTCTTCCGCAGACCATC